AGCTTAGCTTCTTGGTAAATCTGCCTCTGCTTTTCTACCCTCATGCTGAGCTGATGACTTCTCCTTCTAGTTCATTGAGAAAAATAAAGCCGTTAGGAGAAAACCTCTATAGACTCCCACCACATCTACTGTCTTCCCTGCTGTTAACCTAGATGAACCACCCATACTATTAAGCCAGTTCCTCCACGGCAGCATTACAACTTCTCTCTCACCTACTTAAGGATGTGAATCCATTCTCCTCTCCCTCTTCACATCATCAATTTCCCATTTTTTATTGGATTGTTTCTGTCACCACACAAACTTAAAGAAAAAAAAAAAAAAAAAACACAACTTTTCCTTGACCCTACTTTCCCTAACAGCTACTGGCCCATTTTGTTGCTCACAGACAAATGCCTTGAGAGAGCTGTCTGTATGGAGGATCTTCAATTCTTCTTTTCCTATTCTCTCTTTTATATGTTCAAACCAGGCTTTTATTCCCATTTGCCACTGAAACTGCTTACTAATAATGTAAGGTCACTAATAATGTCTGTGTTGCTAAATTCAATGGTCAATTCTTGGACCTCATCTTCTTTGACCTATCACCACCAGCATGTGACCCAGCTGATCTTTCAGTCTTCCTTGATCCCCTTTATTCAAATGCATTTAAGAGCATTATATTCGCCATGTTTTCTTCCCACCACATTGGTCACTCTTTCTGAGCCTCCTTTATTGACCTCTTATGCTGGGGTCTCCAGACTCAGTCCTTGGTTCTGTTTTTTCTATATACACTCATTCTCTTGGCAATCTCATCTAGCTCATGGATTTAAATACAACTGTTGTTGTTAGGTGCCCTGGAGTTGATTCTGACTCATAGTGACCCCATGTGACAGAGTAGAACTGCCCTACAGGGTTTTCTTGGCTGTAATTTTTACAGGAGCAGATCACCAGGTCTTTCTCCCTCAGAGCCTCTGGGTAGGTCTGAAGCAGTAACTACCGCATTTATATTTCCAGTCCAGATTTCTCTATGTAACTCCAGACTCATATCCAGTTGCCTACTCTACATCTCCGCTTGGATGTCTGATAAAACTCATTGCCATC